TTCCATGACGGTGGGTATGGATCTGCAGGCGGCCCTGAAGAAGTCGAAGACTCGGTGCCTGGCTTCTTCCAGAGAGACCGAGTTGGGCGGCACCTTCACGGCGCGTTGAATAAACGACATTTTTCCTCAACTCACTCACTGAGTTCTGTCTCGCACTACTCTCCGAGACGCAGGCTAATGGGGAAGGTTATCATGTGGTGAACACAAGCCGAACGGTGTCGTTTCAAACTTTCAGCTGCTTTTTGTTTGTATGTATTTTCCTTTTTTCTTTTTTCTTTTTTGTTTTCCTATCCTTTTTATAATTTGTAAATTAAATAAGTTTATTCTGCTAAACCAAAAAAAAAAAGTTAAATAGTATGTATAAAAATTAATGATCCATATACTATTACGAATCAATACTCAAATGTCATGTGATTGCCCCTGAATCAATGATCTATATACTATTAAGAGGAGATGTAGAAGGTTTTTATTTTATTTTATTTTATTTTTTTTATAATTATAAAAAAAAATTAATTTTTAATTTTAATTTTTGCCAAAGAGATATAGAAGTATTTGAGACACAACATGTTGTACATGCAGAAGTCATAAAGTTGATGAGACCTATTAAAGTTTGCCACTAGTAAGAGCATTTCCACTCGTTGGCTAATAATAAAAGGGTAATACTAGGCTTATCACATTTTTCATACCACATTTGTATCATATCTCTAATAGAGGTGGAGCCCATCAATACAATAGGGCCCACCTCTATTAAAGATGTGGTACAAATGTGATATGAAAAATGTGGTAAACCTAGCATTTTCCATAATAAAATGGATAATAACTTTTCTATTAGTTTAGAGATAATTTTTTATCAGATCGAATAAGATATAGGGTAATTCTATTCACCTTCGACCCATTTACAGGTCTAGGCGATGGGTAGATATGTGGTTATGGATTGTGTGAGGATTCCTTATTATTATTTTTTTTTACTAATGGTGAGCCAACTGAAATTTGTTAGCCGACAAGGGCTTTAGACAAGGTGACTCTCTATCACCATACCTCTTCTTCTTATTATGTGAGGGTTTGACTTACTTGCTAAGGTTGAGAGAATGGGCCATTTGAGTGTCCATTTGCAGGGGAGCTCTTATAGTAAGCCACCTTTTCTTTGCGGATGACATCACTACTAAAAAATTGGGCTAAAAGCACGAATTCTATTTGTGCTCTTTATGTAAAATAGCTTGGATAATCGTGCTCTGTGAAGTAGCCCACGGTGCAGCCACTTTAAAGTGGTCGGTTTGCTGTACAGCAGTTTCCATTGATTATAGAGCACAAATATGTTGCTTCATGGAAGATATTTAGAGCACAAATGAAGCATTTGTGCTTCTATTTTGACAAGTGATTAAAGTGTCAGATGGCCTAATTTGATAGGTGTGACTTGAGCACAATTTCAAAATCACGCTCAATGGATATATATATATATATAGCTTCCATTGAGGGATACCCTTGTAGGGCCCACTCTGCATTGTATTTCACTAATCCAAACCATCTATATTTTAGATAATCATTCAAAGATCATCTTTACAAAAAATCACTTGAATCCGATATCGTTTGACCACTCAATTGTGTTATTGAAATTTAAGTACTTTCTTGAAGCATTGTGTTCATTGATTTTGTTAGTCTAAATTAGATGCCTTAATAATTTTTAATTTGTCTGATTTTTTTTCTAGGGATGATTTATGAATGAAGACTTGAAAAATATATGGTTTGGATTGTTTGAAAAAAATTCGTAGGGTACCCTAAAGGGTGTCCCTCAAATAAGCTTGGATGTGTATTAATTGACAAAACTTAAAGCCACACGCAGCATCTCTTTGTTGTTTATTTTTCACGTGCAAGTGGCAGCCTCAACTTTAATGATTATTGAACTAATTTAATATTATATTCTCCTTACCATACTTTTCTATCTCCTTTTTGCCTTTTCTTTCATTCTTTTTGTTTTTTGTTTTATTTTCTGTTTTTTCTCACTTTGAAACCATTTCTCACTCTCATACTTTTCTCTAACAATTTTTTCATTCTCTTTTTTTTTCTTTCCCTTCTCTAGCTTTTTCTCAATTTTTCATTATGTTCCTTTTTTTTCCGTCATTTTTCTCTCTTTGAAACCAATTGTCATTGTTTGTTTGATAACTATGTTTTCTTTATTATTGACATGCCCCAGGAAGAAAAAATACTTTAAGAAAATAATGCCTTATTATTAAGAAAAAGTTAAAAGAACTCATGAAATATAAAAGTTCTACAAATTACTTGTCCTTGCAGCATCTCTGTAAGAAAAATTATATATAAAAAAACCTAAAAGATTCACATGTCCTCATTTTTATTCGCACAATCAAGACTCAAGTTAAAAGACTCAATTACTTGGTTCAAATTCATCTTTGTAAGAAAAATTATATATAAAAAAAAAACTAAAAGATTCACATGTCCTCATGTTTATTCGCACAGTCTAGACTCAAGTGCAAGATATCCCATATTCATGACTGCAGTATGCAGCCCACATTTGTACTTCTAAGTAATTTTTAGCCTGCTAGAGGAAAAATAAATATCAGAATGTGTTACTTCAATTTTCCTGTCAATGAATTAACACACATATAAACATCAATATTACCCATGGAGAAAGAACTCTCATCTGTATCAAATAAATTTGAATTTGCATCATCGCATCTACATCATGGGAAAACAATAATTAAGAGGATTGATGCAATATTCATATATAAGAAATTTGAATAATAATTACACATACTCACCCATTTATTTAGCATCGGACAATTTCTTTTATCATGTGATTGTCCAATTTTTCCGCATCCATGATAACACCTACTCTTACTCTTTGCTTTCTCTTTTCTTCTTTTTAGTCGTTTTCCACAACCTTTTGCTCTAACGGGAAGTGGTTCATTAAACTTGTGTGCTCGAGTAGTACTACATTTTTCAGGAACTCCACTTGTAGTATCAACTATAGGTTTGATATCTTCATGCGCATTTTATAATTTTTTTGCTACGATGTCACTTGCTTCTTCGTTTGTCATAGCTTTATCAATTACATCTGAAGCAACTTGAAACAATCTAATTCGTCTAACAAGAAACGATTTTTTTTTCTAAAAATCATTTAATTCTAGACCGTCATCATCAAAAACTCTATCTAAATTTTCAGTTTTAGTCCATCTCTTCAAGATGTATTGATGTGGCAAATAAGTGAATCGCATAGTATTAAAAAATGCCAAAATGCGTCTACATGTGATTCCTTGACTCTCAAATTTTTTGCAACTACATGAAACTAAATCCAATTCTTTTTCATAAACAATTTCTCGCACTCTGGAACCATGGTCATTGTTTCTCCTCTTAACTTTGTACACACAATAATTGGCGGTCTCACTTGTCAGCTCAACCATATATAACAAACTATGCCATAATTCATCTTGAAATTCATAGAAAATTTTACATGTGTAAGTCCCAACCATTTGATTATTATAAATAAACCCAATCCTAGACATGTATTTATAAAAAAACCCACACACTATTTAAACATAGAAACACACCCAAAATCAACCCCAAAATCAACAATTGTATATTTTTTGGGTGTGTTTATAAATGGGTTTTGAGTGTGTGTAATGATGGGTTTTGGGTGTGTTTATAAAGTGTTTTGGGTGTTGGGTTTTTTAATAATTTCAGCCCCCATTTTGGGTGTTTTAGTGAAACTCCCTTGATTATTTTCCATCTCTAATGGCAATTTCAACACAGGTTTCTCATTCTTATCAATATGATCAGCACTTAACTCCTGATGACGTTGTAGTACAAGTGCCCTACTTAACAGTGTTATTAAGTCGGTTAAAGGTTTTTTGTTTTGTTTTTGGAAAACATATTTCTTGAAGAATGCATGGCAACTTTCTACTTGTTGGCTACTTGTCATTCTGGCTGAAAAAACATGATTCACATATGCAAGAACCCAACTTGAACAAATTTCATACAATGACCATAACCAGTCATTATCTTATGACTCACTTTTTTCCACAATCTTCATCCACTTTGAGTCAAACTCTTCTGTGCTTTTTGATTCCCATATGCATTTTCTAAAATCTTCAAAATAATCTCTATATTTGACCCCACCTAACCTTTTTGAGAATTTATCTAGTATGTGCCAACTGCAATACTTGTGAGTTATATTTGGAAAAACTTCTACAATGGCTTTTGTCATTGCTGGATCTTGATAAGTAATAATCATTTTAGGGGAACCTCCAGGCATGGCTTTCTTAAATTTCTTAAATAGCCAAAGAAAAGAATTAGTTGTCTCATCACTTAGGAATGAACAAGCAAACACTGTTGTTTGACCATGATTATTGATAATTTCAGCCCCCATTTTGGGTGTTTTAGTGAAACTCCCTTGATTATTTTCCATCTCTAATGGGAATTTCAACACAGGTTTCTCATTCTTATCAATATGATCAGCACTTAACTCCTGATGACGTTGTAGTACAAGTGCCCTACTTATAAAAACCCACACACTATTTAAACATAGAAGCACACCCAAAATCAACCCCAAAATCAACAATTGTATATTTTTTGGGTGTGTTTATAGATGGGTTTTGAGTGTGTGTAATGATGGGTTTTGGGTGTGTTTATAAAGTGTTTTGGGTGTTGGGTTTTTTTATAATTTCAGCCCCCATTTTAGGTGTTTTAGTGAAACTCCCTTGATTATTTTCCATCTCTAATGGCAATTTCAACACAGGTTTCTCATTCTTATCAATATGATCAGCACTTAACTCCTGATGACGTTGTAGTACAAGTGCCCTACTTAACAGTGTTATTAAGTCGGTTAAAGGTTTTTTGTTTTGTTTTTGGAAAACATATTTCTTGAAGAATGCATGGCAACTTTCTACTTGTTGGCTACTTGTCATTCTGGCTGAAAAAACATGATTCACATATGCAAGAACCCAACTTGAACAAATTTCATACAATGACCATAACCAGTCATTATCTTATGACTCACTTTTTTCCACAATCTTCATCCACTTTGAGTCAAACTCTTCTGTGCTTTTTGATTCCCATATGCATTTTCTAAAATCTTCAAAATAATCTCTATATTTGACCCCACCTAACCTTTTTGAGAATTTATCTAGTATGTGCCAACTGCAATACTTGTGAGTTATATTTGGAAAAACTTGTACAATGGCTTTTGTCATTGCTGGATCTTGATAAGTAATAATCATTTTAGGGGAACCTCCAGGCATGGCTTTCTTAAATTGCTTAAATAGCCAAAGAAAAGAATTAGTTGTCTCATCACTTAGGAATGAACAAGCAAACACTGTTGTTTGACCATGATTATTGACCCCTACAAATGGTGCAAATATCATACAATATCGATTAGTGTTATAAGTACTATCAAATAGAACCACATCGCCAAAAAACGTGTATGCCTTCCTAGATTTTGTGTCAGCCCAAAAATAAGGAGTAATTCTATCTTCTTCATCAGCCTCAATCTTAAAAGTGAAGGACAGATTCTTTTTGTGCTCTAGCTGGAAATGCCCATACAACATATCTGCATCATGTCCCTTTAACCCATTACGCAAATTCCTTTCATTATTGTTGATGTGTAGGTATATTTGCTGTTGAAAATAGTTGGGTTATACACTTATGAGAATTTGAAACTGTATGATGAGACCTTAACAAGTGTACTCTTTTAAGACTTGTTAATGGGCGGTTGTGACCCTCCACAAATAGGTTGACTACATAGGTTCCAGATTTCAACTTCACCACAACAAGCTTTGCCTTACAACCCTCTCGAGTAATACCTCTACGCCTTTTTTTCTCACCAACTCCTTTAACGGGCACTTCTTCTTTAGAACACACATACTCCTTTCGTAGGATTTCATTAGTTTCCTTATTCTTCCTACTAGAATTGATTCTGACAATGAAACCAGCTTCCTTGGCATAATTATTGTAGAACTCATGAGCATCATCTAATGACTCAAACCTTTGGCCTGATTTTGGCTTGTGGTCATCTCTTAGTTGTGGTATGTATATTTTGTCACACGAATCTGAATTTAATCCATGTTGCCACCTGATCGGTTCATAATTGTATATCATTTTGTACCCTTCTAGCTTATGATTTGGTTATGTTTTTGAGTTAAACTTGTGCTTTTAATCCTTTTTGTGTTTATCTTTCAGTTCATTGAGCTTTAGGTAATAATGATGGCTTTAGAGAGCATAATTCATGCAATTCAAGCATGTTAAGGCCTAATTTGGATGAATGGATGAAGAGCTTAAAGACAAACTCATTTTGGCTACAGCCTCCTGCCAGTCCAGTTCCGTAGGACATATTGCAAGCATTGTTTCAACAACCTACATAGCTCG